ACAAAAATCAGGCGCTGACTGAGCGTGCATCCCAGGCGGTCTGTTGATCGCCAGCTGTCAGGCCAGAGTTTCCACAAAGAGATAATTACCTAATTATTTCAATGTCTCTGATTGATTTTTTGTAGTTTTTTTGCTGTAATATTATTCAATAGTGTGTAGTGTGATATATTTATATAATAAAATGAGTGAATCATCGCTGTACTCAAAAATATGGTGTGCGTATTGTTGATTCAATTATGTTCATCAAACAGTGAACAAATACTTTGTCGGTTATTACACTATATACACAGGTTATATATAAGTATCTGCATGTTTTGGTCACCATGACAAACCACTAAGTTGGTATGCTGAGTGGCAGTGGCAGTGGCAGGCAGTGACTGGCTGCCACTGGCTGCCACTCCCTCCCTCACCTCACCTCACCTGCCTTGCCACCATTCTCCACCCACCATACTGTTTTTGCTTTTATATACAGACGTTATATATAAGTATTTACATGTTTTGTTCACCATAACTGTACATCTAAGCTTGTATGGTGAGTAAAGGCAGAGAGACGTAGCTACTCACACAGTCAGCTGGTGGCGGCCGCCCTCAAGGCCAGACGCACTAATATTTCTCCTACAACAATACTGTTTGTGGTGTTATTACGCTATATACACACATTATATATAAATATCTACCTGTTTTATTCACCATACTTGTACAAGTAAACTGGTATGGTGCCCAAAGACCATCGTGGTCATCAGTAAACAACATGATAACATGATAAGTCCTGCAGACGACGCTCCTCCCTCACCAAAATGGCGGCTCCCAACCTCCTACTCTCGCTGTTATCTGACACTATACACACGTTATATATAAGTATCTACATTTGTGTTCACCATAGCGAACCACTAAGCTGGTATGGTGAGTGCAGTCAATAAAAGGTGGCCACACACACTCAAAAGACAACGCCACCATCCTCCCTCCCAGAGCATTACTCCTCCCTACATGGCGCACAGCGCCAAATATCCCCACAATCCTGCTATTATCAGAACCCTGGTCAGTTTTATCACAGTCAGGGGTCTTCTGTAATAATATCATCGCTACATAATAGCATGAACAAGTATATTATGGCATTTTTAGGCGATGCTGTGGTCACAAGCTGAACAGCAGTGCTGTGAGCTCATGCTGCGTGCGTCAGGCTTGGTAGCTCACTCAATACTGAGGCCCCCTAACATCCTGGAGTTTGGCCCACGATTTTTTTTAAAAATGGCGTCTGTTTACAAGAGCCCTGATGAAGGTGTAGTGAACCCCGTGTATCCGCGGGCCGTTTAAATCTTGCGTAGTACTCCAAAGCATCATATGATGCGATGCGCAATTTACTGCAAGTCGGTCAAAGCATCATATGATGCGATGCGCAATTGAAGGGTTAAATGAGCGTGCGGATGCTGCCGCCAGAGAGGCTGTCCACTCTTGTCCCATCTCTCGTAAAGGTATTTCTTATTCCGACTTTTACCCGGTTATCCATTCCTCCATCCTTACCCGTTGGTAGGCTTGTTGGTCGTCTGTTACTGGTAACAAACTACGTTCTCTTAAAAGTTGGGTGTCCTCGTGGCCGTCCTCCTACCACCGTAACCAGCGATGGGAAACGGCTCTGGCGAGGTTGCGTATTGGCCATACTTGCTTAACTCATGGTCACTTGATGGAGCGCCGCTCTGCTCCTTATTGTCCTAATTGCATTGTCCCTCTTACAGTCATGCATATCCTTGTTGAATGTCCTGACTTCCGGGATGAGCATGTGTCTTGTTTTCTGACCGTCCCCCGCGGTCGCTTGTCTCTCGATAGTATTCTTGGTAACTCGGATACTTTTGATATCGTTCGCCTTATGCGTTTCTGTTCTCGTATTGGCATTCTTGGTGATATTTAGCGCCGTCTGATTATCCCGCAAATTTGATGGTGCTACATAGCTTTCCCAGTTTGGTGCCTTCTTTTTGATAATTACTTACTTCCAAATGCATCTCAACACCTCAAACCAATTCTATTTCCTGATGACACAACTTTCATTTTCTCCAGTCCTGACCCTCTTGCTCTAAATGTCACTGTGAATACTGAACTAAATAAAGTCCATATTTGGCTAACTTCTAACAAACTCACCCTCAACATTGATAAAACTTTCTATATTTTAATAAATCCTCAAATGAGATTAATCTAAGAATAAACAATACACAAATCAGTAGTAAAGTTGATTGATGGTAAATTCCTTGGTGTCCTCATCTATAACAAGCTGAATTTCCAGGGACACATTCTAAATATTGCAAAAAAAAGTTTCTAAAACTGTTGGCATTCTTTCTAAGATCAGATATTATGTTCTTCGCCCTGCCCTGGTGACGCTCTATTATTCTCTCATCTATCCTTATCTCAACTCTGGTATTTGTGTTTGGGGTTCTACTACCCAAGATCATTTATGTCCTCTAATTACCCAACACAAAGCTTCTATTAGAACAATATCTAACTCTGGCCCCAGACAACACTCGTTACCCTTACTCAAATCTCTGAATATGTTAGATATAAAGTCACTGCACATCCTCTCATGTGTACTCTATACAGAGTACACAGACCAAAGAGCCAAAGCTCAACCCCCGCAAGCACGATTAGGTGAGTACAGTATATTTAAAACTCTGAATTGTAATGTCAATCCTGACCTTAAAAGCTTCTTAGAAGGTTGTAACAGAACCCATGAGCACCACACCAGAAACAAATACCTATTTGATATTCCAAGAGTACGACTTAACCAAACTAGAAATGCTCTACAAATCAAGGGACCCAGAATGTGGAATGACCTTCCCAATCATGTCAAAGGCTGTACCTCTCTCAATCAGTTTAAGATGAAAACTAAGCACTACCTAATTAACTCCATGTAACCTACCTTACCCCTAAATGTCAACCCATGGCTTTCTATTTTTAAACAATGCTGTTTGTTGACTAACTTGTATATTGGCTATTTTTTACCAAGTTCCCCCTTTTTTACCTTTTATTTTTTTTCTTTCAATGCAATTTATACTTTAGGCTCAATTACTATTAAGTTTTAGTCTAAGTGTTTTTTCCCCACCTCACCTTTCCCGAAACGCTATGCTTACTAGTGGCTTTAGGTATTGTATGTACTAGCTCTATCTATAAATCCAACATTATGTTTGTAACTAATCTTATATGCATGTACTTTTACCTGAATAAACATTTGATTTGATTTGATTTGAACTCTGCTGTCATCTCACACTATTATGCACTAATCTATCCCTATTTTAATTATGGTATCTGTGTATGAGGTTCAACCACTGCAAACCACCTCAAGTCCATCATCACCCAGCAAAAATCTGCTATCAGAATAATAACAAATTCTGCTTTCACACAACATTCAGCTTCCCCCCCCCTTGTTTAAATCCCTAAACATGCTAAACATAAGCTCACTCCACACATTCTCTTGTGTCAACTACATTTACAAAAACCTGTTCTTAAATGCAAACCATGCTCTGAAACTCTCCCTGGACAGATGTAATAAGACCCATTATCACCACACCAGAAATAAATATCTCTTTGATATCCCCAGTCAAACTTAATCTGTGTTAAAAGGGACCTAGTCTATGGAACTCATTCCTTAATGAATTGAAAAGCTGTCCAACTTTTGTGTCATTCAAAAACAAAACTGAAAAGTACCTAATTTCATCTTCATAGTTTTCTACCTTGTTGCTTTAAAATTGCACTGTATCTAGTGCTACCCAATCTCCCAATCTTTATGTACCTAATCCAAACAACTTTACCATTGTGATCATTGCTGTCTTCTTATATGTGCTATCAATTTGCTGTATGGTACCTATTAATCTTTGTTTAAATTACCAATCAAGCTGTCAGTGCAATCAATCAGAGCTACAAATGTGCTTTAATATACCTACTAATCTCTCTCATCTAATTTTTTTTTCTTGCAATGTATCTGTTATCATTTTATTAATTCTGCTCAAATTTACCCACTTGAAATTATCTGTTAGATTAAGTACCTGGCTGGAACGCTCCGCGTACTAGTGGCTTTACAAGATTGTATATACAACAATACAATACAATACAATACAATTTTATTTAGGTAAGGTACATACATAAAAAATTTTTTTACAAGGATTGGTTGACTTATAGGTAGAGCTAGTACATACAATGCCTAAAGCCACTATTACGCAAAGCGTTTCGGGCATGATAAACTTAAATGACAAGCTTAATACTAATTGAGCATAATGAGTAGAATGAAAACAAGAAATGAAAACATAGATGAAAAAGCAGCACAAATACAATTATGTCGACAAACAGCGCTCTTTAAAGAAAACACAGACATTGGTTGACAATAGAAGGGTAAGGTAGGTTACAGGGAATTTATTAGGTATAGCTTCGCTTTTAACTTAAACTGGTTGAGAGAGGTACAGTCTTTAACATGGTTGGGAAGGTCATTCCACATTCTGGGCCCCTTGATTTGTAGAGCATTTCTAGTTTGATTAAGTCATACTCTAGGAATATCAAAACTGTATTTATTTCTGGTGTGGTGCTCATGGGTTCTGTTACAACCTTCTATGAAGCTTTTGAGATCAGGATTGGCATTATAGTTTAGCGTTTTATATATGTACAATACACATGAGAGAATGTGCAGTGACTTAATGTCTAACATATTCAGAGATTTGAGTAGGGGTACCGAGTGATGTCTAGGGCCAGAATTGGATATTGTCCTAATAGCAGCTTTGTGTTGAGTAATTAGAGGACGTAAGTGATTTTGGGTAGTAGAGCCCCAAGCACAAATACCATAGTTGAGATATGGATAGATAAGGGAGTGATAGAGAGTCACCAGGGCAGGGCGTGGTACATAATATCTGATCTTAGAATATACCATGCTATGTATCCTCAGAAACCCAATGTACCTTCTTGTATATAAATAAATAAATAAATAAGTATATATATTTACAAATGAAGAATGCATCATATTTCAACAGGTGAACATGGATCTTAACCGTGCTGCTGAAAAAGCTTGTCTTTATAGTGGTAGCAGCGAACAGAATTTCCATAACTTTCTGCAGTGGATACTTAATAACAAGAAACTATTGATGCCTGATCCTAACACTCCAAGGTAAGCTAAACAATATGGTTATTTAGAGCACTTCTGATCCAAGGGGAAACAAGTGGCTGATGCCAGCATGTTTTATCAGTAATATTTTAATTACTATACAGGGGTACCTCGGTTAAAGAGTTTAATCCGTTCCTGGAGACAGCTCGTAACCCAAAGCTAATTTCCCCATAAGAAATAGTGGGAAATGAATTAATCTGTTCCAGACTACCCAAAAACCTCACTTCAAACTAAATTTTCTACCTAATTCAACTATATCTACACTACAAAACTATGTTCAGGGTTATTACTTACCATTGCTGATGAATGCTGTAGGCATATGGAAGATGGTGAGGAGGGAAGAGGAGGAGAGGAGTTACTGTTTGGAAGGGGAGTCCCCTTCCATTATAACATCAGGCAGTGAGGACCTGTCAGGGGTGCATTCTCTGGCACGTTTTGCCTGCATACCACTAGGTCCTGGTTGTGGTTCACTGCTTGATGTTCTCACAACATATCTGTCCATGGAAGCTTGTTTTTCCATTCTGTGCAAGATGTCTCTGTAGTAAGGCATCACATTGTCATTGAAAAGATTAATGCAATGGCTTACTACAGCTTTCTCTGGGTGACTCTTTTCAATAAAAGTTTGCATTTCTTCCCACATCTGACACCACTTCTTAATGTCTGCAGAAGGGACATTCGCTACTGCCTCATCCTCCTCCACTGGAGAAACATCCTCAGCTGGATCTTCTTGCTTTTCCTTTGGAAGGGCTTGGAGTTCTTCGGTGGTCAGTTCTTCGTTGTTTTCTTCCACCAACTCCTCCACATCATCACCATCCAATTCCAAACCCATTTGCCGGCCCAGAGTAACAATTTCCTCAACAATAGGCACATCATTTACAGGTTCAAACCCCTCAAAGTCTAGTTCTGTCACACAGGCCACAATTTTCTCCAGCCAGAGATCAGGGTTCTTTGAGTCACTTCTTGCCAGGCTTTGTCAACGAGTTTTAAAGAACTACAAATATTAAAATGGTGTTTCCAGAACTCTTTGAGGGTGAGGTTTGTGGTTTCAGTTACTTCAAAACATTTCCAGAAAAGTGCCCTTTCCTAAAGTTTCTTAAAATTCGCTACGATTTTCTGGTCCATAGGCAGAATTAGAAGAGTGGTGTTAGGAGGAAGGAACTTTACTGTGAGAAATTTATTGTATCTGTGCAACAATTCATCTTCCAAGCATGGAGGAAGAGCAGGAGCATTGTCGAGAAGCAGGGCCTTGAGTGGCAAATGTTTCTCCTGCAGATATTTTTTTATGGCAGGGCACACCACTTCATTCACCCACTCCAAAAAAAAAATCCTAGTCACCCATGCCTAATTATTAGCCCTCCACATCACACACATATGATTTTTCTGCACTTTATAATGTTTGAAAACCCTTGGATTTTCAGAATGATACACTTGCAAGGGTTTAATTTTCAAATCGCCACTCACATTTGAACACAGCACAAGCGTAAACCTATCTTTCATAGGCTTGTGTCCGGGCAATGCTTTTTCCTCCTTGGTAATGTATGTCCTCTTAGGCATTCTTTTCCAGAACAGTCCTGTTTCATCACAATTAAACACCTGTTGTGGTAGGTATCCCTCAGCCTCTGCAAACTCTTTAAATTTTTCAATAAATTTCTCAGCAGCTGGTTTGTCTGAGCTGGCTGCCTCCCCATGCCTCACAACACTATGAATACCACTTCTTTTTCTGAATTTCTCAAACCATCCCCTTCTTGCCTTCAAGTCTTTCTCTGCACTCGTTACAGGGGTTTTCTTTACAAGGTCTTCGTGCAATACCCTGGCTTTCTCACAAATGATGGCCTCGGAAACACTATCACCCACTAACTCCTTGTTGTGTATCCAAATTAATAACAACTTTTCCACTTCCTCAAGTATTTTTGGTCTTTGTTTCATGATTGTTGATACTCCTTTTGCCACTTTGGCACTCATAATGTCCTTTTTCTTGGCAAGTATAGTGCATATCGTTGACGTGGATTTGTTGTACTGCCTACAAAGTTCAACAGCACGTGCACCATTTTCATGCTTCCGAATGATCTCTTGCTTTTCCTCTATTATCATCCTCACATGCAATTTCTTGCCTTGAACCTTACCACTGACTTTCTTGGGACCCAATGTGATGTATATTATAACAAATTTTATGCTCAAATAGTAAAAACTCTGAAAATAAACGGTAAATCCTTGTGAAGCATTCAGGCGGGATAGTCACTGGGCGCAAGGCACTGGCAAACTGAGCGGCAATTGCCACTAGGTCGGCCCGTACGTGTATCAACAAACTCATATCCTGAGGCAACCCTCGTAACCCGATACAAATTTTCCGAGCAAATCCTGCTTGTAACCCGAAAAACTTGTAACCAGGGGCACTTGTAATCCGAGGCACCACTGTACTTGCAAGTAAATAGTAATGAAGGAAGGTGTGAAATCTTGTAACATAATGGCTTATTTGTTAATTCAATCTGGCGCTGCCCCCGTTTTGGTTTTAGGATCCCTAAATTGGGGGTGTTGGTCGCTTCGACCATGGTTTTGCATGCTCTCCTGATTCCTTTCCTGATGGACGTGGTTCGCCCTGCTCCTTCCTCCCTGTTCCCTGCTGCCAAATGCCTAAGGGTTTCGGAGTCGAACGGCATCCGTGTCCCTCCCTCCTGCGGTGTTGCTCCAGCTGCAGCCCTGCCTTCAGCTGTTCTTGGGGGCTTTCCTGGTCACTTGTTGGCTGGTCGAGCAGCTCTGCAGTGGTCTGAACTTTGCTTTGCTGGTTTTCCTGCTGGGTCAGTTTTGGTTTTGGAGGCTGTTTTGGTTCCTTCGGACTAGTCCCTTCCGCCATTCTCGTGATCGCTGGGTTCGTTCCCTGGGGGCCTTGTATCAGTTAATGCGTCTCCAGTTTCCTCTTCGGGTTTTTTGGGGTTCAACCCTGTTTCCTTGCTCTGTGTTCATGGACTCCTTATCACTCGGCTGGGGTTTTGTGACCAGTGCTCACCAGGCTGGTCAGGGTGTTGGGTTCTGTCCTTCTGTCGGGCTCACAGCAAGGAGCGGGAGTTTGGGGCGGTGTGGCTCTCGCTGCGGTGAAGCTGGCCAACGAGCAGATTGAGCATTGCGCCGACCAGTCGACGCTGGCTCAGAAACTGGCACCAAAGTCCAACCCCGACCGGAAGAACCCCGAGACCTGGCATGACCATGCTGAGATGCCCGAGAATGGCCACCCCGGAGAAGCAGCAAATCCGACAGGACGACAACTAGACGAGGCTGCCTGCAGAAACTGAGTGACAGCAGTTTCCACAAACAGCAATGGACAAAAAAGGGATGAAAACCTAAGAGCCAGGGCCCAAGCGGATTCCAAGGAGAGAGCAAGCATGGCCTGGCGACACAAGAGACGAGAGACAAAGGACAGAGACATTGCCTTCCTGACAATCGGTGCAAACAGCTTCAACAGCGCGGCCGACACCCTAGCAGCGGAGGCCAACACCCCAGACGACGGCCCGAGACCCACAATGCCTCTACATCCTCCCCAAGCCAGTCAGAGGACAACTTAAAAAGGGAAAAGAAGTACAAGATCCAGGCCAAATGCCCACGAGCGCGCAAGTCCTCAGCTGCCAAGGACGCTAAAAGGGTGGGAATCTGCACGTGCAGCTGTACAAGGCCAACATTCAGAGGAAGCACAGGGGTGAACAAACACACATTATGGTGCTCAAATACGCCCCACAGGTAAACCTGCAGAACGGTAGCAGCCTCCTGCCATTCAAGCATGTTGGTCCGACAACCCAATGCCACGCTCCCTGCGAAAAGGAAGGGCAGTCTGCAAGCCAGGATACTCCAGAACCTCATAGCACACCCAATATGGGATAGAAAAACCAGACGGATCCATCACAGAGGCAAAATCCGGGTTACACAGGTGGTAAGCTACAAAAGCCTCCTGAACATCTTTAGGTGGGATTCAAGAGGCAGAAAACCTCCAGACAGAATGAACCCAAGGGAACCCAGAACCGAACCCGGGGAGAAGCTGACCCTCAAATCATACTCATACACAGAAGGTGGGTAAGAAAACCCCTCCCCCTGCAACAACAACCCTGCAGAGAGGGCACCAAAACCCAAGCAGGATCAAATGGAGCCCAAGCCCCCCCAGGTCAACTCCTCAGCCCCAGAAGCCTCCAAACCAGGTCCCGGAGGCAGAGCCATTCTGCACACCCACTACCCTTGAAGAAAATGCAGAGTCCAGGGGAGAGGCAGCAAAGAAGCAAAGTCCTACCAGGGTCTGCTGGTAGGACCCAGAAGCTTTGGCAGGAATAGCGGGTTCGAATGCCTCTGTCTCCGACTCGAATGTAGCAGCCCGTGAAGCCACCCGGGCCTCAACACCAACTAAACCCCGACCCGACTTGAAACCCTTAAACCCTTAGACATTTGGGAGCCGGGAGCCAGCTGGGGCTTCAAAGGGCCCCAGCTGGCCCCAAGGACGAGGCAAATGCCGAGCAGCAAGAACCCCTACGGGAATGGTTCCTGAACACCCCAGGGGAAAATAACCCTGTCACGTAGGGGCAGTACTCACAGGGCGCTTAGGGAAGGAACCCCTAAGCGCATGCAGCCCTGGTACTGATGAGGAACACCTGGCCACTGCACAACACAAAAACACAGCAGTGAGCGCCACGAAGACAAACACCGCCTAGGAAACTGAGGCCAGAGAAGCGTCTGTCCCGGTTGACATTAGCTTATGAACTGGTGCTAGGCAGCCGGCGCGGTGAGGTCCAGGCCCCCCCCCCTCCCGCTCTTGGGGGAAGGGAGGGCTGTGCGGATGAGCGGCGCGGCAGTAAAGTGTGGTTAGCTTGTTTGCTTGTTTCCTTGGGATTATAGGGAGTTTCTACCTCTCTGTTCGGTTTTTTGTTTTAGTTTTTACCATGTGAAGTTTGTTTTGTTATGCCTACCTCTCTGGGTGCCTAACCCCAGTTGATGGCAGATAAGGAAAACCCCAAACCACAAGGGGGTTTTCCAGGGCCATTGCATCCCTGAAACCTCTCCGAAGGGGCCAGGTTCTGGTGCTGGTCCCTGTAGGTCTGAACTCCATAGCTAATGTCCCGGTCTAATATAACATACATTATCCCGATAAGCTCCAGGGAGCCTTCGGGGCTCGCCCAGAAAATGGCGTTTCATTACATTCAGCGCTGATTTTTTGGGGAGTTCTCTCTCTCTGTTTGGTCTTAGGTTGCAATTTCTTTCAAGGTGGGGTTTGTTTTGTTATGCCTACTTTTCTGGGTGCCTAACCCCAGTCGATGGCAGACATGGAATGCTCCCAAACACATGGGGGTTTCCATAGGCCATTGCTCCCTGTGCCTCTCTGAGGGGGCAAGGTTCTGGCTCATGGTCCCTAATAGGCAGACTCCAATTGACTGATGCCCCAGACTAATATAGCATATATCAGTCTGATAGCTCCAGGGGAGCTGAATGGGCTCCCTCACATTAATTTTTATTTTTTATTTTTGTATTTATTTGTGTAGAGGCAGACATTGATGTACTGTACTTTATATTAATGGCTACACTTTAACGGTGAAAATAAATGTATTAACTATGTCACAGTTTAGTGAAGCCAATATGTAAAATTTTATCATGCTGTTTAAAAGACTACAGGTTCTTAACATTACAAATTGTCTTATTATTTTTGTAACAAGCACATGTAAAGAATTTATCATTTCTTTTTCAGATTGGATGTTGATTTTATTGGTGTAAGGAACAACTTATCAATCATTATGAAAACCCCATACAACTATAAAGAAGCTTGGACTTTATATGCTACAGAGTAAGTATTTGATAGTTTAAAACTTGATGCTGATATCATTATATGTCTGGGCTTTCATGTTTCATAATATTGGTTAGAAACTCTCCAGGATTAAATAAACTCTTCTAAAATATTAACTGATATTGTTTGTTTTGGTAATACATTGTAATTACCGAAGTGTAGTTACAGGATGAGAGCTACGCTCGTGGTGTCCCGTCTTCCCAGCACTCTTTATCCTATAATGCTTTGAAAGTACTGACTGTTTTGGCTTCCACCACCACCTCACTTTACATGTTCCAACCATCTATAGCTCTTATGGAATGTAGAATAGAAGAACATAGACCACACATAAACTACAAATTATGTGAAAATGCTTTAAACAATTCTGATAAAGAAAGAGATCTAGGGGGTGCTTCTAGATAGAAAACTATCACCTTAGGACCACATAAAAAACATTGTGTGAGGCGGATACTTTGTGGTTACCTTGTGATGGCTTCGGGGCTTAACATCCCTGCGGTCCTGTCATTGCCCAGGTCTCGTTGTTGCTGGACGGGTCAACCAGGCTGTTGGACACGGCTGCTTGCAGCCTGATGTATAAATCACAGCCTGATTGATCAGGTATCCTTTGGAGGTGTTTATTGTGTTCTCTCTTGAACACTGCATGGGGGGGGTTGACCAGTTATACCCCTTATGTGCAATGGAAGCATGTTGAATAAGTTTGGGTCTCTGATGTTGATAGAGTTCTCTTTCAGAGTACCTATTGCACCTCTGCTTTTCAACGGAAGTATTCTGTCATCCTGCCATGTCTTCTGGTCTCATGTGGTGTTATTTCCATGTTGACTTAGGCATTTTAGTCGGTCCCCAATAGTTTAGACGTTCTACTGAGTGGATTCTAGCAGTAAAGAATCGCTGCATGCTCTCCAGGTCAGCAATTTCTCCAGCTTTGAAAGGGGCTGTCATTGTGCAACAGTATTCCACTCTAGAGATCCCTACAGTCTTGAAGAGTATCATCACTGGACGTCATCATTAGACATAGCTTATGCTAAGCTCTCCAATTTCAGAATTGCTTTTAAATACATAGTTGATGAAATGCTAAAGAAATTGTTCATGACCTTTTTAAACCAAAGCTGGAATATGCAGTGGTTGTATGGGACCCATATCTTAAGAAGCACATCACTAAACTGTAAAAGGTGCGAAGTCATACAACTAAATGGCTCCTGGAACTGAAAGACAAGAACTATGAGGAGAGGTTAGTGGTATTAAATATGGCAAAACTGGATGATAGAAGAAAAACAGGCGATATATGATCAATACGTACAAAATAATAAATGGAATCGACAAAATTAATAAGGAAGAATTCCTGAGACCTATAACTTAAAGAACAAGATGTCATAGATTTAAATTAACTAAACAAAGCTGCCAAAGAAATGTAAGAAAATTCACTTTTGCAAACTAGATGGTTGGAACAAGTTAAGCGAGGTGGTGGTGGAGGCCAAAATCGTCAATAGTTTAAAGCGTTAAATGACAAAGAGTGCTGGGAAGACGGGACACCATGAGCGTAGCTCATCCTGTAACTACACAGGTAATTACACCTCTTAGGTGTAATACCTAAGTGTAATTACCTATAATGTGGTAATGTTTAAAATGGTAATTGGTAATGGAAACATGGTAATGTTGCACATTACCCATAATGTGTAACATAATTAGGAAGAGCCTTGACATATTAAAAAGACTCTAAAAGCCCCAGGTTTGTGTGAAATTCAATTCAAAGTTGTAAAGTAACTGGCAGATGTACTATGCCTGCCACTGAAACTCCTTTTCAGAAAATCTCTGTACCAAGGGATAGTTCCCCCTAGATAGGAAATATATAATTGTCAGCCTTATTTTCAAAAAAAGGCAGAAAGAGCTCAGCAGAAAACTACCATCTGATCAGCTTTGCATCACAAATCTGCAAGATCATGGAGAGAATCCTAAGGGAGGGAATCATTCACTATCTCACAGTGAATAATCTTGTAAAATCAACAAAATATGGGTTTGTTAAAAACATATCCTGCTTTACAACCCTGCTCACAGTTTTGGAATGGTAACCAGCTATTCAAACAAACACAAACAGGGTGCAACAGAACAAATCCACAAGGGCAGTGACGAGGATTCGAACCTGTTCCTGAGAGCATCCCAGACGCTGCCTTAATCGACTGGTGTACAAATTTGTACAATTTGAACAGTTTCAAATTCAGCCTGCCATAATGTAAGACTGAAAAGAGGAAATGCTTTTTCACCCACAGGGTTATAATTATAAACCCATAGAACCTCATACTCGCCAACATTGTAAGTGCCAAAACTCTGTTGAACTTTAAAAATTCAGGTGAAAAAAATCCATCAGAACAAATGGGTAACTTACACAAGCTTCTGGCATCCTGTCCTCAAGACCACTAGTGTGTTAGTGGCCCTCAGGTAAATTCAAGTAAATTCAGGATATATCACTTTTGCTGTTCTGTGTATGTTTATTTAAATATTGGCATTTTATATTAGTAAAATATTATGCCGTATTTAAGTTTGTTCAAAGGATTTTCAGCACTCCACAATACTGCAGTTTACAATTGGATTAGGTGAGTCATGGTGATGGTTTGGATGTACAATCTTCACTTAATCAAACATTTGTATGTTCCACTGAACAATTTGCTCCAAACAAAATCTGTTCAAACCATTCAGGAATTCGTTAGTGTGAGGATCTACTGTATTTATCTATTATTGTATTTGTCCTTAAAATAGTTCTCAGCAATTTTATATGACCAGATTTAATGGGACGGTGTACATGATGAGGCAGCAGAAGCTCGAAGCTGACTCTTTTGCACAACAAAAAGGAGGCTTATTGGAAAATTTTCAAGTTTGGGGACACAAGTTTGAGCAGTACATGTCAGGAGGTATGTTTATTTAGTATGTATTGTATACCACTCACTATTCAGGTGTTCTGTATTGCAAATGATTCACAATCAAATGGTTCTGGTTTCGATTCCCACAGCAGGACAGAGACATTTGGGCATGTTTGCTTTTACCTGATGCCTTAGCTGATCTAGCAGAAAACTGGCAAAGTATTCAGGAGTTAGACCACTGTTAAGCTCAGGAAGCCTGCACTTAACAGTGAAAAACATATATTGCACTATAATTATTTCATATGTATAAACATTTAGGTAACTGATAAATGAATAATTTGAGATGGGCCTCTCAAATTATTATAAATTATACAGAGGAACCTCGGTAAATGAATTTAATCTGTACCAGCACCGAGCTCATCATGTGAAACGCTCATCTTCCGAAACAAATTTCCCCATTTAAAATAATGGAAATACAATTAATCCGTTCCACCCCTTAAAAACATCAATATGAAGTTTTACAATGTAATTATAATACATGTAATTATTATAAATGTTTTGTTTTACTGTTTTCAATTGTACTTTAACTTATGAAGAGTCATTGCTGGCTTCAAGGAGACGACGGTAAAGTGGGGAGGAGGAGAGGGGTTACGGTGTGGAAGAAGAATCTCCCTCTGAGTCAGGTGGGCTCTCTCTTCTTGGGAATTTCAGATGGATGGTGAGGGGACTGGATGGATGGATGGTAAGGGGGACTGGATGGATGGATGGTGGGGGGGACCAGATGGATGGTGAGGGGACTAGATGGATGGATGGTGAGGGGAATGGATGGATGGATAGTGAGGGGACTGGATGGATGGTGGGGGAACTGGAGGGATGGTCGGCCGAGTGGACAACACGCTGGACTTGTGATCCTGTGGTCCCGGCGAGAAACAATGGGCAGAGTTTCTTTCACCCTATGCCCCTGTTACCTAGCAGTAAAATAGGTACCTGGGTGTTAGTCAGCTGTCACGGGCTGCTTCCTGGGGGTGGAGGCCTGGTCGAGGACCGGGCCGCGGGGACACTAAAGCCCCGAAATCATCTCAAGATAACCTCAAGATATGGTGGGGGGGAAGGGGGGGGACTAGAGGGATGATGGTGGAGGAAATGGATGGATGGATTGGGGGTGGATAGATGGATGGTGGAGGGGGACTGAATGGATGGTGGGGGTGACCCTTCATCCCCCCACACTGCACCCTCCGCGCTACCCCCATCCCGCCATTGGACTCTCCCTGCTACCTTCATTCCCCTCACCAGACTCTCCCTGCTACCTTCATTCCCCTCACCAGACTCTCCCTGCTACCTTCATCCCCCTCACCAGACCCTCCCTGCTGCCTTCATCCCCCACACCAGACCCTCCCTGCTGCCTTCATCCCCCACACCAGACCCTCCCTGCTGCCTTCATCCCCCACACCAGACCCTCCCTGCTGCCTTCATCCCCCACACCAGACCCTCCCTGCTGCCTTCATTCCCCTCACCAGACTCTCCCTGCTACCTTCATCCCCCTCACCACACCCTCCCTGCTACCTCTATCCCTACACATTGGACCCTCCTCGCTATCCTGCCACCGGACCCTCATTGCTACCTCCATCCCCCACATTGGACCCCTTCCTTTAGCTGTACCTTCCCAGCCACATCTAAACGATATTAACAAAAGGATTATTTTTTCTGGGGGGAGCCCCTATGGTTTCCCGGAGCTATCCATGGCTGATATGGATATCCTAACTATTTTGCATCAGTCGATGTGGGTGGAGTTCTAGCCTACCGGGGACCACGAGCCAGGACCTAGCCCCCTCACAGAGGCACGGGGAGCAATGGCCCACAGAATTGCACATGGGATTTGGAGCATTCTATATCTGCCATCGACCGGGACAGGCACACAGAAAGGTAAGCACCACAAAACAAACCCCTATTCTGGTTAACAACGAAAATTGACAAACGAGTAGACAGAACTCTCCAAAAGAAAAACGAACTAACAAGCATGACGTCACACGAGCCGCGCCGCATGTCTGTGCAGCTCCCCCCTCCCCAGGAGGGGAAAGGGGGAGCCCCAGACCCCCGAGCCGGCGATCCCCGCCCCAGTTCCTCGGCTGATGGGATAGTGCATGGTCGTGTGGCTCCAGCTCCAGTCTTGTCTCAGTGCTGTGACTTGTTTTCAGTGCTGCTCTTACGATGGTTGTGTGAGCTGGGAGTAGTATTCTCAGGTACTCGGGCTGCATGTGCTTAGGGTCACCTTCCCTGAGTACCCTGTAAGTACCGCCCTTGGGGCTTGGGGTTGCCTTCCACAAGTCACCTTGAGTCTGCCTCTGTTGGCTTTTCGCCGCTTGGTGTTTGGCCGCCCCGAGTGTTTGGGGGTTTTCCTCCCTTGTTTACCTTGGGGTAAATGGTAGTTATAGCACTGGTGGGGCACAGGGTACTGTGTAGCTAGTTTTCACCTATAACAGCGGCCGGCTCTGTTCCCACTGGGTACGTTGTCCACTTGTGTGGTTTTTCTTTTCTTTTTCATTTTGCCTGGTGGGGGTCTGCTTTGTGTTTTTTCCCTTCCCCTTATATTAGGGTCGTTGTGTGGTGGCACCCCCTGCTTCGCCTTCGCGAGTGGACCCGTCCCATGGGCTCAGCTTTTAGCAGATTGCTTGGTAGTTTGGGACACCGGTTAGCAGTGCCCTGCCTGGGATAACCCCTAGCAGACCCAGTCTAGGGGCCCTGGGAAACCCCACGGAGACCCTTGCGTCCTCTCTTGCTGTGTGCGAGTTTGAGGGTTGCTCTGTCCCCTTGTCTCAGGGTGACTCTCATTGTTTTTGCTTCCGTCATGCTGCCTGTTGGGTCGGTGACACATTCGACCCTGAGTCCTGCAAACTTTGTTGCTTGTTCGTGACTCAATTCACCCAGTCTGCTGATGATTTACTTCGGGTGCAGGCAGCTCGTGCGTTGCAAGGTAGGCTTTGGTTATTGCAACGGGCTCGGGTTGTCGCTTCCCCGAACGCCCCGAGGCTTCCCCGCTTTGTGTATAGGGACCCGGACTTGGGGGTGTTGGTCACTTCGGCCTTGGTTCCGTCTGCGTCCCCTTGTTCTTCCCCTTCGGTGGTTCATTCTGCCCCTCCCCTGCTTCCCACCCCTAAGCGTCTGAGGGCTTCAGGGTCAGGGGGGGGGGGGGGTTTAGAGGTTTCTGAGACTCGGGCAGTTTCAGGGGTTGCCCCGTTTGGGGTGGCTACGGAGGCATTCAAGTCTGTTCCTCCGGCCGATGCTCCGGGGTCTGACCAGTGGGCCCCTTCTCTTCCGGCTCTTTCAGCTGCCCCTGGCTTTTTCTTGTGAGGCCGGGGCTTTGGAGGACAGCTCGGCCCCGGGGCCTGGTGTAGAGGCTCCTGGGGTTGGGGAGGAGCTGACTTGGGGGCCTTGGGCTCCATTGGACCCCGCCTGGATTTTCCGTCCTTCTGAGCAGGGCTTACTGTTGCAAGGAGTGGGGTTTTCCGTTCCCCCCTCTGCGTACGATTTGGACTTGGGTTCTGCTCCTCCCTGGGTTCGGTTCCGTGTCCCTGTGGATTCTTTGGTTCCGGAGGTCTTTCCGGAGGTTTTCGGCTACCCGCATCTCTCTGCCTGAGGTGCGGTCGGCCTTTGCGACTTACCTCCTGCGTGACCTAGAGTACGCCTCTATAATGGATCCTTCTTCTTTCAGGTTTGGATCGTCGTGTCCATACTGGGTGCGTTATGAGGTTCCGGGGTCTTCCTGGCTTGCAGACTGCCCCTTGTTTTCGCTCGATGCTTGGGACTCGTTCTGTTGAACCCGCGCGTTTGAGTGGCGTGAGGCGTTGACGGTGGTCCAGGTTTACCTGGGGGGTGTTTTTGAGCACCTTAATGAGTGTCTTTTCGCTCCTGCCCTTCTGCGGGATGTTGGTGCAGTGCAGCTCCATGTGCAGGTTCCTTCCCTGTTGGCTGCTCTTGTGGCGGAGGATTTTCGCGCTCATGGCTTTTTGGCTTGAGTCCTGCGTTTCTTTTTCCTCCTGTAGTTGTCTTCGGATTGGCTTGCGGAGGATGTTGAGGCGCTTGGGGTCGTTCCTGGGTCTGACGCCTTGGTCTCAGCTGCTCGGGCGTCGTCTGCCATGTTGAAGCATTTTGTGCCGATCCTGCAGGAGGCGTTGCTGCGGTTTTTCGTGGCGCGGTTTGCATGTCATCAAGCGGTCCTTGCTTCCTCTTTAGAATCCGCTTGGGCTCTGGTTCTTAGGTTGTCTTCTCCCTTTTGTCCTCTGCTTTTTGAGGCTTCTGCGGTTGAGCGTTATATTCAGGCGGCTTCTTCTTGCCGCCCTATGTCTGAGTTGTTGGTACTCTGGGGAAACCGGGGGTTCCTTCCCGGCGGGGTCGTACCAGGGCTCGCGGTTCCATTCATTGGGGGTGGGCCACAGGTGTTGGGTTCGGTGCCGGTGCCGCCTGTGGTCCCACCTGTGCTTGGTCAGCGCGGTGTTCGCTCTGCGTGCAGGTTGGGTTCTCGTAAGGGGCAGCAGCCCTTTTGCGGTTCGCCCCATTGACGGGGCGATGGGGGAGAGGCTGTCTCTGCTTGCTCACGCCTGATTTCACGATTTGTGGTTTTTTTGGGTCATTTCTCGCGGCCTGTGGTGGTGTTGGGTGGCTCCTCCTCCTATGGGGGCTTCGGGGCTGACGGGGCAGGCTTCCTATGCTGCGCTCCGTCGGGTCATCTTGGAGTGGGTACACTTGGGCGTGTTAGAAAGGGCTACGTCCCTCAGGAGGGTTTCCCGCCTGTTTCCAGTTCCGAAACAGGACTGTGCGGACCTGCGGTTCATTCTGGACTTGTCCCATCTGAACCCTTGGGTTTCTTGCTCCTCGTTTCGGATGACCACTCTGTCCCAGGTCCGGCTTCTGTTGGAGCCGGGCACTTGGATAGTGTCCCTGGACCTCAAGGACACATATTGGCACGTCCCTATTCATGTGGGGTTCTGGGACTGGCTTGGTTTTGTTGTGGGGCGTCAGTGTTACCCCTTTCATTGTCTCCCCTTTGGGTTGAACCTGGCACCTCGCGTATTCACATGCCTTACCTGGGTTGTGGTGGCCCATCTGCGTCTGTTAGGTGTTCGAGTGTTGGCTTACCTTGTCGACTGGCTGGTTTGGGCTCCCAATCGGTCCACGTGTCTGGCCGCCAGGGATTTGGTGCTTTTCCAGCTCGCCGGGTTCAGGTTTCTGGTGAACTGGCGGAAGTCCCATCTGGTGCCCTCCCAGGTTCGGTCCTGGCTGGGTCTTGTGTGGGACTCTCAGACCGCTTCCTTGTCTCTAACTCCGGGGTCTCTCCTTCGGCTGCGGTTTCACCTGTGTCTGTTTCTGGGGGCTCCCGGGTCACTCGGTGGTTTCTCGAGGGTTTGTGCAAGAGCCTGAACTTTGCAATGTTGGTCTACCCACCGGATCGGGTTTGACTTTGTCGGCTGTTCTGGTTCCTTCAGGGACGTCCCTTCTGCCTCTCTTGCGATCACTGGGTTTGACCCCCGGGGGCTTTGTGTCGGCTGCTGCATCACCGGCTTCCTCTTCGGGTTTTTCGGGGTTCAGTGCTTGGCGCCTGCCCGAGCCCTCGCTCGATGTGTTCATGGACGCGTCGTCTCTAGGCTGGGGTTTTGTGACCAGTGCTCACCAGGCCGGCCAGGAGCGGTGGGTTCCGTCCTTCCGTCGGCTCCTCAGCACTGTGCGGGAGTTCGCAGTGGTGTGGTTTGTGCTTCAGAGGGTTCGAGTCGCCTGCGGATCGACGATTCGGCTCCATTCGGACTGCTCCTCGGTGGTTCATTGTCTGAACCGAGGGGGTTCGATGCGGTCCTTGGCTCTTTGGGGTTGGTCGCTTCGGGTGACTCGTCTGCTGAGTTCTCGGGGTTTGGCTCTCCTGGCGGTTCACGTCTGGGGGGTGTCCAACGTCCTGGCAGATGGCCTGTCCAGGTTCGTTCCCCTGTCCACGGAATGGACGGTTGATGCCAACTCCTTCAGTTGGCTCTGCTGGACGTTCGGGCGCCCGGAGGTGGACCTCTTCACGTCGGTGTGGTCGAGGTGTCTTCCGGTTTACGTGGCGCCCTTCCCCAACTTCGAGGACGTCGGGGTCGATGCCTTTTGGCTAGATTGGTCGAGTTGGGGTTACCTGTACCTCTTCCCACCGGGTCGGTTGTTGCTCTGTGTCCTGGGTAACTTAGAGAGACTTACCAGGGACGAGTAGTCCTGTTGGCTCTTTGGTGGCTGGCCCAGCTCTGGTTTCAGGCGCTTCTTGCTCGATATCTGAACTCAAAGGTCTTCCCGTAGCTCCACCTCTTTCAGCAGATCGGTCCATTCCGGTACGTGGCTGGTTTGATCTTCTCTGCTTTTCGCATCTGGTCTTTTTGACGTGGGTTTATCACCACTTGTATGGTGATCAGGTGGCTTAGTTGTTGTCCCTCCTTCAAGTTTCATCTCGAAAGTATGAGATTTCCTGGCGGTCATTTCGGCACTTTGTCTCTTCGTAGGCTGTCTTTGATTTCTGGTTGGATTGTTTTATCCTTTCTCTCTTGGTTGTTTCAGGACCATCATCTTATGCCAGATACTGTCGCCTCGTTTCGGGTGGTGCTTGCGGAGCCGCTGCAGCTTGCATTTGGGGTGGATGTCACTTCTGCTCCGTTCCGCAAGCTTCTCAGGTGTTGTGTTCACCTCTGGCCTACTCATGTACCGCCTGAGCCATCCTGGTCATTTCACCGGGTGCTCGGTTTGGGGTGGCCCCCCTCAGTTCAGGATTGTTTTTCTATGGCTCTTTTCTTGTTGGCATTGGCCTCTGGGGGTCGGGTCGGAGAGTTTTATGCTCTCCGGCACAGGGGTTTCTGCTCTTTCGGTCCTGGTGGTCTTTTCTTCGTTTGCAACTTTGTCTGATCCCCAGTAGGCTTAGAACTCCTTTGATTTACTGTTGCCACGGTCTAGTATATACACATCAGCCTGGTATAGCTCCGGGGAGCTTCTGGGTTTCACCCAGAAAATGGCGTTTCATTACATTCAACGCTGGTTTTTTATTTCTTGTGCCTGTGGGTGTTGAAGGCCAAATAGCTCAGAGCAGTTTATGGTATAAAGATGTGTCGATAAAGCAATAATAAAGAATTTTTAATTATTTACCTGATATCTGCCATCTCTTTTAGCCACAGTGAGTATAGAAAGTCTGCTTTTCTTGGGGGAGGGGAACTCTTTATGGATCCCTGAAGCTATACATAGAGATGGTTGACATCTACCAGGTCACATCAGCCATGGAGCACTTCTAATCCTACTGGGGACCAGCACCAGCACCTGGCCCTGCAAGGTAGAGACCTTTGTTGGAAATACTGTATATGAAATAATGTTTGGTAGTAGAAAAGCCACTTTTAAAAACTTCTGCCAGTTCAGCAGCTCTTCTGCATATGTGCAGGAGCATATTACAGTAGGAAAATGGTCCTGTCAAAAAAGATGTAAACAAGTTTTTATTATTGATGAAAGAGACTATTCTAAGAACTCAGCTGATGCAACCTGGTAGGTGGGGTAACCATCTCAGAGTACAGTTTCAGGGAGCCACTGTCGCTCACCCAGAAATTGGCATTATATTACATTAAATGCTGTGTTTTTGTGCCACTTCATGAGCATTTTATTTTCTAGCCTCACATTTTGTGAGGTTCAGGCAGTTTCTTTGCCTGAGCAACTTGTGACTGGAGTGCCTTCTCTGGTCATCACTGGCATTGCCCTGCTCGGTCAGGGTTTTCTTCCTATGAGGTTCGGGTTGCTGTCATTGAATCTTACCCCAAACACTGTTTTGGTTGTACTCCACTTCGAGGCTCAGTCGTTGGGATAAGCTGGAATTTTATTTTGAGGTGTGCAGTTTGGGTTGTAAGTCAACCACCAACTGTATGCTGCCAATGTCTTCCATGTCTGCATTTTCTGAAGTCAGGGTTATGAGCTTGTTCAGCGAGTCCTGCGCCTGGTGTCCAGGCAGGAAATTTTCTTGCCAAGGCTGAAAATCCCTGGAGATCTTATGTGGTGTGGGTTATCCTGGACCTTCTCTCTGAGCCTGCTCCCACAGTTTCCAGGTTTTCTAGATGCTATTTGGTTCTGTTTTATGCCATTGTTCATCCTTTGTGTTTACCAATCTTCCTGTAAGGTCTATTATCATCCCTGGCCTTCGACTTGTGTGGTTGTTAGGTTTTCTTTACTCCGCAGGCTGTTCATGGGATGTGGTATTTCAGGCATTAATTAGTTTTTGGGGCAAGGGATCCTATGTCATTGTTTTGCAATCTTGGTCTGGCTGGATTTTCAGTCATTGAATACTCATTCCAAGCTTGGCTGACCACTCCCAGAGGTACTACTGTCCACTCCAAAGAGGAATTTGTCCATATATAATGATCTCTGCTTGAAACTGTACATTTCTCTCTTATGTTGACAAATCTGAAAAAAATTATCTATTGATGTTCGTCTTAATTAAAACCAGCAAATTATAGGGGTTTTGTGAAGAGTGTAAGATTTATTCATAGTTTTTGATTGTCCTTATATCTAATAGGAGATCCAGATGATGGGGTACAAGCTAATGAAGAATATCGGGTTGCGATGAAGCTCATGGTGGACCAGACTTCGCTGCTCTTTGCTCCAGAAGTTGACTGTGCAGACCCATATCTATATGAAGAAGATTTCAAAGATCTAAGTAGTTTTGTGTTAGTGAAGTGTTGCAGAGAACTAAAGGAACCTCACAAACTTAAAAATCATAAAAGGTATGATGTAATTGCACATCAGTCATGAGGGGTAGTGTAAGTTCTTGCATTTTTCAATATTGAAAAATATTTCTTTACAAACCCCAATTTTGCTACCATAATAATTCTTACTCTTCACCCAATCCTCCCCTGTGCCCACCCATTCCTGCCCCACCCCTACTCTTCCCTGTGTACCTGCTAATTCCCTTTCCCAGCCACACTTTCGAATTTCACATATACCCTTGCACTCACCCCATGACTCCTTCCCTATCTGCTTCCTGCTCGACACTCTCATAATTGTGTTTGCGAGGGTTGAACTTGACTCTGTACTCTCACTCCTAAACCTAAGTTTTAGGTAGGATTTCTTAAATGTGTTTTAAAATATTTTGTCACTGCATAGCTCTATTCTACATTTCAATTTCAAACTCAACATGATGGAAATGCAAAGCATCTTGCTCCGAACTATTTCAAAACTAAGTAGAATGCATAATAGCTGTGGTTTTTTTGTGTTTCTAATCAATAATCTTCCCTGGGGTGTCTGTTTACTACAGTTTTATTTAGTTGATTCCACAGGAATAATTGTGTTTTGATTAATTGGATCACCATGCGGATCAATGCAGTCCCCCCATGGTGTAGTGGCAAGACACTCACCTGGCATTTCGCAAGCACTTTGTTCTGGGTTCGTATCCTGACTGGGGAGGATTTACTTGGCATCAATCCTTAACTTTGGCCTCTGTTTACCCAGCAGTAAAATAGATACCTGGTTGTTAAACGATTTGGCTAGGTTGTATTCTGGGGAACATAGGATTAACCCTTAGACTGTGCAATACATATATAGATGATTTGAGTAACATTACCGATACCGTGCAATACATTAATAGCTGTTTTAGTGTCTGCGCTTTCATTTAAATGTCCCGCGTGGGATAGCGGCAGCTATAGTGCAGCCACGACCGATAGTTAGCAGACGCCACCTAGAAAAATATCCTGGCCAACATTCCTGAGTGTGAGAGCCTCAGTATTGAGGGAGCCATCAAGGCTGATGCATGCAGCATAAGCTCACAGCATTGTTTACTGCTGGCCACTATGGTCTTTGGGCATCATACCAGCTTATTTGTACAGGTATGGTGAATAAAACATGTGTATACTTATATATAATGTGTGTGTATATAGTGTAATAACACCACAAACAGTATTGTTAGAGGAGAAACATTAGTGCATCTGGCCTTGAAGCAGTGAGGGCAGCAGCCACCAGCTGACTAGGTGTGTGGCTACATCTCTTATTGCTTGAACTCACTGTACAAGCTTAGATGTACATTTATGGTGAACAAAACATGTAGATACTTATATTTAATGTCTGTATATAGTGAATAAAAGCAAAAACAGTATGGTTGGAGGAGTATGTTGGCGAGTGAGGAGGTGAGTGAGGGAGTGGTGGCGAGTGGCTGACTGGCTGGTTAGTGAAGGCCACTCTTCATTGTTTTTTGACTCACAATACCAACTTAGTGGTTCGTTATGGTGAACAAAACATGCAGATACATATATATATAACCTGTGTATATAGTGTAATAACAGCAAAACTATTTGTTTATTGTTTTATGAACATAATACAGTAATTAAATCACTAATATGAATACAATAATTTTGAGTACAGCAATGGTTCACATATTTTATTATACAGTGGGGCCTTGACTTACGATTTTAATCCGTTCCCAGAGACGGATTGTAAGTTGAAATATCGTATGTCGAAATGAATTATCCCATAAGAAATAATAGGAATTAAATTAATCATTTCCACAGCCCAAAAAAATATTAACTTAACACTTTTGCGCCCCCGGCGTGTGTTTCATTTGTATGCACGAACTGTTCCTGGCGGTGGGCTCGAGCGCGCAGGCGAGCATGCGACGACACCAAAATGTGCATACTCGTTTCAGTTTTCTCACCTTAATTCTCGTGCTACGTCATTCGTTTTGATATTGTTGTGTTCGCAATAGTAGAATTCCCTACAGGTGTATATGCGTATAATGTCCAAAGGCCCGGCATGACTCCCCCACAGCAAAGCCTAAAGTCGGCAAAAGTTACTCGTGAGCGTATAAAATCATTAAAATGTGTATACTTGTTTCAGTTTTCTCCCCTTAATTCTTGTGCTACGTCGTTCGTTCTGGTATCATTGTGTTCGCAATTAAATTCCCTGCAGGTGTATATACATATATTGTCCTGAAACCCGGCGTGACTCCCCTTAGCAAAAACTAAGTTACCCGCGAACGAGCACCAATTATCACACCTTCAACCTAATGTGTATACTTGTTCAGTTTGATAACATCAGTTTTCATGCTATGTCACTTGTTTTGGTATCAAATTGTGCGCAATATAAAAGTGCGCATTTTAAAACTAGTCCCATAATAATAGAGCAATAACTGGAATTTTTAACAAATATTTTCATTTTGGACACACATCATCACAAAATTATTTATATCTTTCCAGTGTTCTGACATCAATTTTTGTGTTACATCTTTTATTTTGGTATCACATTGTTTGCGATCTAGAGGCGCACATTTTAAAACCACTCCCAGATTGAACAGATATAATTTAAATTTTTAATAAATATTTTAAAAGTAGCATGCCACTAGCGTCACGGGCTAGGACATGATTGAAAAATTGGGGATGCCAGGGGTGCCACGAAAGTGTGAAAGTGTTAAATTTTTTTTTATTTCGAATACAACTTTTGTCTAGCAACAATACAGTATGTTTATCTTGCCTTTATTGAGGACTATTCTTGGCATATGGAAGACGGTTAGGAGGGGAAAAGGAGACGTGTTACTGTTTGGAACGGGAGTCCCCTTCCATTATAACATCAGGCAGTAATGAATTCTCTGGGGTTCACTCTCTCCTACGTTTTGCCTGCATACCACTAGGACCTGGTTGTGGTTCATTGCTTGTTTGTCTCACTATAAATATGTCCATAGAGATTTGTTTTCCATTTGTCTTAACAGTTGTCTGTAGTAATGCATCACAGAGTCATTCAAAAGGTTAAGGCAACGGCCTACTGCAGCTTGATTTGAGTGAGTCGCTTCAGCAAAGTTTGCGGCTCTTCCCATGCTGCATACATTTTCTTAATTTTTGAGGAAGGGGCATGCTTTACTGTCTCTATGGTCATCCTCACATGTATTTTCATATGTTGAACCTTACCACTGACTTTCTTGGGACCCTTGGTGTGATATATAATAATTACTTTTACGTTCAAAATCAAAAAAATCACCAAAATAATGGAATTTCTTACCAGCGTGATCGTCACTAAGTGGGCGGCTCTGGTAAACTAAGGCAGGTCGGCCCGTGCCACCAGGAACTCTCCAAACAAAATTATCAAACTAGCAAACTAGCATCTTGTCACCGTGCCGCCGTCTGTGCAACACCCCTTCCCCCTCCCCAGGAGGGAGGAAGAAGAGCCCCAGACCATCCGCACTGGCGATCCAACCATCAGTTCTTGGCTGATGTGATTACTGGTCGGTCGAGTGCCTCTGGCTCCAGTTTTGTTTCAGTTCTATGCCTTGTGGTGTTGGCTGTCTCTCCCGGTGGGGTGTGAGCCAGGAGTGAGATTCCACGGTACTCAGGCTGCATGCGCCTAGGGCTGTCTTCCCTAGGTGCCCTGTAAGTACTGCCCATGAGGCCACCTTCCACAAGTCACCTTGGGTTCTACCTCCGCTGTGTCCTTTACTGCTCGGTACTGGGATGCCCTTGGAGTTGGCTGGGGTTTTGTTGCCCTTGTTTGTCTCTGGGTAGGGGTAGTTTTTGTCACTGGTTGGGGCGCGGGATACTGCACAGCTAGTTTTCACCTATAACAGCAGCCGGCTCTGTTCCGCCGGGGTAGGTTGTCCTCTTGCGGGGTTTTTCTTTTGTTTTTGTTTTTTGCTGGTGGGGGGATCTGCCTTTCTGGTCCCCCTTTGCTGTTTTCGGGGTTTTTATATATCTTTTTCTATTTGGTGGTTCTCCCCGCTTAGCCCCCGTGAGTGGACACGTCCCAGGGGGTTCAGCTTTTTAGAAGTTTGTTTGGTAGACTTGGGCGCCAGTTCGCAGTACTCTGCCTGGGCTTCCCTTAGCTTGTAACCAAGGCTAAGGACCGTGGGAAACCCCACGGGGGCTCAGTGGTTCAATGGATGTGACCCCTGTGGTCCCCCTCGTGTTTTGCGAGTTTGCAGGTTGCTCTGTCCCTTTGTCTCAGGGTGACATTCGCCTGTTTTCCCTCCACCTTGCTGCCTGTTGGGTCGGTGGTTCTTTTGACCCAAAGTCGTGGGACGGGTGTCGTCTGTACGTGCTCTCGCTCACCCAGGCCACTGGTCATGTTAAGTGGGTGCAGGCGGCTGCAGCGTTGCATGCTAGGTTTAGGTTGCTGCAACGCTCTTGGTTGGCCCTGGATGCCCCGTGACTGCCCCGTTTTGGTAGTAGGGGTTCGGTCTTGGGAGTGGGGATCGCTTCGGCTCTGATTCCTTCCGCTCCTCCTATTCCATTATCCATTTCGTGGATATGATACCAACATCAAATCATATATCAGATGTCACCCTATCCCCACTGGATTTTGAAGAAGCCATAAACAGTATGCCTATGCACTCTGCACCAGGCCCTGATTCTTGGAACTCCATATGCATCAAGAACTGTAAAAAACTGTTATTGCAGGCCCTCCACATTCTTTGAAGACAGCCTAGATACTGGTGGCATGCAGAGATAGCACCACTCCATAAAGGAGGAAATAAGGCAGAGGCAAAAAATTACAAGACGGATAGCACTAACATCTCACATCATAAAAATTTTTGAGTGCTAAGAAGTAAGATCACAAAATACATGGAATCACAGCATCTCCATAACCCAGGACAACATGGTTTCAGAACAGGGCGCTCTTGCCTGTCTCAGTTGCTGGACCACTATGACATGGCATTAGATGCCTTGGAAGACAAACAAAATGCTGATGTAATTTACACAGATTTTGCAAGAGCCTTCGACAAGTGTGACCATGGTGTTATTGCACATAA